TAATTTGTTATGGTCCATGCAGTTGAATTCCTTTGCATAGTGAATAAAACATAGGTAAACATCTTTCAATTAGTAGTCAAGCATTTAACCATTTGTGCCACTGAAAGACTTCTTAAAAACAACTAGAAGAAGCCAAAGTTAAGAATCAGCTAGTTGATTGCAAACACCAAGTTCGTACTATTATATATAATATGCTGCCTTCAATCTAGCTCCATTATGATGTATCCACCACACAGTTTCCAGAAAGCTTTCTAAAAAAACAAATCTGGTCATGACACTTTTCCATTTGAAACATTTCAATGGGAATTATGTTTTTGGGTAGGATTTAATAAACAGTTAACAGTTCATTATTTCTACTACAACAGATAGAGGGAAAAAAGCATGCAAGCTTTTTTTTAAAAAAAAAAAAAAAAGATGAAATTAACTAAAATTCCAGACACGGTAGAGCCCTTCTAGATAAGCTGAGACTGAAATATTTTCTTCCCTCTGGGGATTTAATATGTCTTGGCCTTGCTGAAAAAGTGGCTTGCCATAGGCAGGGATATTCTTCTAGGGGAAAGTAAAATCAGCAGAGCTTTTGATGGCTATATAGGTTAGTGTGATGTATCAGAATTTAGAAAAGTTCCAGTGAACATTTGCTGAATGCTGGGGTGGTGTAGAAGACTGTGGGCTAGATTGAAAATGCAGAATAAAGTTTCCTGCAGTCTCGTAGTGCTTAGAAGACAATATCCCACTAAAGTTAGAGGTCTAAAACAAATAGACGTTTGAAGTCAGAAGGAGGCTCATTCTCACTAAAGTTGCATCCCAGCATTGACACTGATCAATTCCTAATTGGACCAAGGTTATCAGCCGCTCACCCTCTCTGCCAAACTAAGGAAAGCTTGAACTGTCTCTGGGAGAAAATAACATTAATTTTAGTATCCACAGATATTTTACACACAATTTCTGTCATAAAATTTTAAAAAATACAAGATTTGCAAAGAAGCAGCAAAATGTGACCAATAACAAAGAGGAAAATACAGACATTAGAAGCAGACTCAAGGGTCATCTAGACAGCAGTATTAGCAAACCAGGACCTTAAAACTACTTATATAAATATGTTAAATAAGAGAGAAAAGCTGGACAAAACAGATGAAAAGATGGGGAATTTCAACTGATGATTAGAATGTATATAAAATAGATTCAAATGGTATTCTAGAATTGAAAAAAAATAAAAATTTGAAATTAGAAGCTCATTAGATGGGTTTAAGAGCAGACTGGTAGAAGACAGGATTAGTGAACTGGAAAACAAGTCAATATAAAATATCCAAACTGAAGTTCAGAGAAGGGGGTGGAAAAAGAAAAGAAAAACCTATGAAACATTTGTGACATCATCAGTCTAACATATGTATAATGAGAATCCCAGACGGAGAAGAAATAGAAAAAAAAATATTTGAAAATATGTTGTTGTTGTTCTTGTGGGTGTCATTGAGTCAATTTTGACTCATAGCAACCCCATGTGACACAGTAGAAAAGCCCCATAGGGTTTTCTTGTTTGTAATCTTTACAGAAGTAGATTTTCAGGTCTTTAAAGAAAGATGCATTCAAGAGTTCTTCTGAACCCCAAACACTATAAATACATAGACAACCATATTTAGACTTATCATAGTAAAGCTGTTAAAAACCAAAATAAAGTTAAAAGTCTTAAAAGCAGCCATAAAAAAGATATTACATTCAAAAAAGCATCAATAATATTAGAAGATGAATTTAAATAGGAATTTTGGAAGTAAAGAAATAAGGGGACATTATCTTTAAAAATGCTGAAAGAAAAAAATATTGCCATCTAGAGGTTTATTCCCAGTGGAAATATCCTTCCAAAATCAAAATGAAATAAGTATACTTTTTTAGACACATAAAAGCTGAGAAAATTATTCACCAGCAAACATACATTATAAGAAATACTGCAAGAAGTTCTTCTTACTTAAGGAAAATTGTCCCAGATGTAAGCCTAGTATCAAAAAGTAATAAAGAGCCTAAGAAAGAGTATTGTAATCTCTAGAGTAATCATTAAAATAACAATACAAAGAGATATAAAAACTGAAGAACTAATAGAGATGACAAAATAGAATGATTCAGATTAGTTGGTTAAAGTGTTTCAATAGCTCCACATTTCTGATAAATGCCAAAACTTTTAGCATAGTACACAAGGTACTTCATGATCTGACCTCCATCTACCTATTTAGCGTTAATTCTCATCATGCCTTTTCTAGAACTCAGCTATTTGAAACTACAAATAGTTCCCATAGCAAACCATGTTATTCATACAAACTTACATTTACATATGCTGCTCCTTTGCCAGAAATATTATTCCATTCTTTTCTTACTTTGATAATATCAGTTTGACTTTAAATATACAGCTCAGGTTCAATCTAGTTTCCCTGAAAAACCAACTCTGAATCTCCATATGCTCCCACAATATCCAGAGCTAACCTCCATCACATCATAGCCCTTGTTGTAAAACACGATTATTTGTTTCCTTATTTGCTGATTTCCCCAACTAGACTTCAAGATCTTTGAAGGCTGGGCATCTGCATGTTCCCTCTATGTCTTTGGCATCCACCACAGGGGCAGCACAGAGAAGACATTCAACAGCTACCTTAGGAAAGGCTGAATACATAAATGGGCAAACATTATTTCACTATTTTCTAGTCAGACTCTGATGTTATACAGAGTATGTTACAATCCCCTCCCATCCTCCAGACCTTTATTTCCAAATGGCATACCAGTACTTCAAACTCAATACATTGCAAACCCAAGTCATTATATTCTACCTCCACTCATGTGTGTCTAACTCAGTCAACATTTCACCATCTGAAGTCACCCATTGCAGCCTACTCGGAATCACTTTGACTTCCGCCCCTTCTTCATCTGCCGTGCCTTTCTTCACACTCTTTCCCCAACCTTGATTCTCTTTGCTCCTTTGAACTCCATCTCATCTTTTCAGTCCCAGCTCAGATGTGACCCTTATTCTGCGAATTCTTTCCTAAACCCCAGCCAAATTAATTTGACTTCTTCCTTGGTACTTTCACAGAACCTCATCAGTGGTGTCATATGTCATGAATTCTGTTGTCATCAATGATTTACATCTGTCTCTTTCACACATTGATGAGATTTTTAATAGAAGGAAATATTTTCACTGGCAAAAGAGGCAGGTCGGTGAAAATATAAAGAAAAGACAAAGGAATAAAAGCATAAGAAAGAAATAGAAAAGCAAAAGAAAGGAAAATCCTTTTGAAAAATTGTGGGAAAATTACAGGAAATTTTAATATGAAGAAATACAGGGGAAAAATTACCTTTAAAACTGTATTAGTCTTTTAGTATTTTAAGTACTGCTGTTTAGCAAGCCATCCCCACATCCCTCCACACACACATTCTCCATAAGGAGAACTTGCGTGGATTCCTCCTGTGGTAAAATGTAAAAGACTTCTCAAAGGAGCAGGGGCTGTCACAGCTGAAGAGAGTTGTTAGCTGCCCTCACTGTTTACCTGTCTCTTCCCAGTCCTTTGTTCTCCAGCTTCTGCATACTCCCTAACACCTATTTAACTCACCTCAATTCTGACTTCTTGCTCTGTCTTAGTTTCCTTCTGTATGCATGTCCTATGTCTGAATTATCTTTACAACTTTGTCTTGGCTCTCTGGATGTTTGCTTACTGTCTACACCCTGCCGTCAGATTCTCCTCTGTCTGAGGCTCACAAGGACAAAACAGGTACTCTCCATACTCATTCTTAGAGATGAATCATCCTGGTGAAAAACAATACAATGATAGACTGAAAGCCTGATCTGATGTTCTAAGGGCTATTTAGGGCCCTAAAGTTTATGACTTCGCATTTTTAAAAGATATGAGCAGAAACCATGGGTGACCTTCACAAGAGTAAGCAAATGATAATACATTTAGAAAATAGAGCCTCTGAGGGAAGGTAAAGGAAGCTGATAATAATTAGATTGGAAACTATGAGGATGAGGCATGACAACTGTACCTTGCTTATAAGTGGAACTTCAAAAAAAAAAAATGTTGACCAGCTGTTCTCCTATCCCATAGGGGACCTAGCAATGAGAAGAAGGCTTAAACCTCTGCAACTGTGGACGTAAGGAAATATCTCCCGATTGCAAAAGGTTTTTGTTTCTCAAGGATGAGATGGAACCCCTTCTCAGAGGATTTGAAAAGTTTAGAAACCATAGATCTCAGATGGCACAAGCGTAGTTCTGATCTTTCGGATGTTACAAGTTGAAAACTTGCACTATTCATTAATTATTTGAAATGAGTTTCCCTGCAGCGTCCATATGCTTTCTGCAGGCTTCACTGAGGATCAGGTTGTGCTGCCTGGTGCTCCCATAGGGCCCCTCTGTGCAGGTTGGATTTTTGTCCAGAAATTATTCTCCAAATTCTTAGAAACTCAGAATTCTTTAATAGTTTGAAAAAAAAAAATCTCTTTTGCAATCTTCTTTCCAAATCTTCAGAGATAATTCCCTTGTATTTTCTAAGCTTTCTTGTCCTGTCTCATATTAGCCTAGCACTGCAGCTGGAAGCCTCCAAGACAATGCACTTTGAGTAGCCTCTATTTATAGTATTTCACATGAAAAGAACAAAACCAGATTGTCAGAGATTCTGTTCTGAAGAAGTATTATGATGTTTTTTCTCTGATACCAGTTTTGAAAATTAAGGTTATTTGGGGGAGGGGTTCTCATCCATGGCTGATTCATGATATATTCTCATGGCCTTCTGACTTCAGAACAGCTACAAAATAAAAATATTCCTTCATGTATTCCAGCCTGTTGGCTGTCCTTTCTGAAAGCACATATCAGCAGCTGAGCTATAAATCTTAACAGCCATGCCACACTTCAGTTCACTGCACCCTACAAGGCAAGCACGTGTTACTTTCATGTTATTCTACTTGATTTTTTAAATTGGTTGAGTTTCATGGGGAGAGAGAATGAAGGTACATGATGGCTAAAGTCTTACTTTCAGAAAGTGGTGGAAGCTCTGAAATTTGGGGACATTCCTCTTCCGGCTCCTCCTGAAAGTACTTCTCAGGATCTAGAAGAAAATCAGGCTTATTCACTTCAGGCAGCTCTTTCAGGGCTCCGATCGTTAATGACCTAAATGCACCTTCACAGCAGCAGGTTTTAGGTGAGGACAGGAGAAAAATACAGTATCATTAATTCCTCAGAAGAAAGTAGCACATTTCCTAGCAAAGTTAACTTTCTAAAATTTAATCTTCCTGTTACTCAGCTGGTACAGCTGCAATGATCAGCAAACCCTATAAACACAGCTGTTCAAGATAAACCCATGGTCTTTTTTATTCAAAGAAACCAAGAGGAACTCAAAGCTTCCCAATCATTTATTTTTTATTTTGTTTTCTTTTGCTATTTTCACTGGAATATGACTATGCTGCAGTTTTGGAAAGCTCCAGTTTCTCTTTTATCTGCAAGAAAATTGTATCCTTTGTGAAATGCAATCTATTTTTTTAATGTTTAACAGAACACGTAACTTTTTGAATTTGCAGGTACTTTTTAATTTTACTAAAATGTAAACCGGAGATGTGTTATCATTGAATTTATTATGCACACAGTGAGATGATGGGAAGCTATTTTAATTATGTCCTTAAAAGCAAAGTCTTGGAAAAAATGAAAAAGTTTTCCTTTTGCTTCATGAGATAAACGCATAATGGGATAGAAATTTATAAAAGCTTCATTTGAGATGTGATTTTATGTTTGTTTGATTGTTAGCTCTGTGAAAGTAGGCATTATGTTTTTGGCAGCCTCAGTACCTAGGAAAAGGAAATGAATACATATTCAGCATCTGCTGTGGAATAGTCACCTGCTGTGTGAATGGTGGCACAGTGGTTAAGAGCCTGGCTGCTAACCAAAAGATCAGCCGTTCAAATCCACCAGCTGCTCCTTGAAAACCCTACGGGGCAGTTGTACTCTATCCCATAGGGTGACTATGAGTTGGAATCGACTCGAAAGCAGCGGGTTTGGGTTTTTGGTATGTCAGTTGTTCCCAAACTTTAGATTTCAGAATCACCTGGAGGGCTTGTTAAAACCTGTGTTCTGATTTATTAGGGTGGGGTGGGGTCCCATCATTGATATGTCTAACAAGTTCCAGGTGATGCTGAGGCTGCTAGGACAGGGACCACACTTTGAAAACGATGTGCTATGTCAGTCAAAAAAGAAGTCTTCACAATCTGTAAGGTATCATTATGCCCATCTGACAGATGAAGAAACTAAGGCTCAGAATGCTTTAGTAAATTGCCAGAGTTTACACAGCTGGTAAATGGCAGAATATGGACTTAAACACAAGTATGTTTTAGTCCAAAGGCTGTGCTCCAAGGTAAGCTTAATTTGAGCTTAAAACAGTAATGATAATATTATAATAAAATTGTATTGAATTTCTACAATATGCCAGGCACTGTTCAAAGTATCTTACATATAATATCTCATGTAAGCCTGACAAAAACCCTATAAAGTAGATTAGTGTATAAATGTCTATTGGATGTTAGCAAATAATTATGCACCTTTTGACAGCAAAGTTTCATCAGAAATTCTAAAATCAACATATCTGCCATGTGGGAGTACCGCTCCTCCGAGGACATAAGTTGAAAAAAGATTTGCAGTAAGTGAAATATTCTATTATATGATGGAGCTTTGAGAATGATTCTCACCTACTTTTCTAAATAATATGCTTCAATATGATAGCAATTCCTTTGTTTCAATGACTTTTTTCATAATTCTTTTCTGGTCAGACAAAAACTAGATTAAGACATTGTTCTGTGTGGCTTTGGACTTTCTGAAAGCAAAAAATAGTTTTATTTCATCCTTGTTTCCTAAATACTTAGGGGAAAGAATTAACATTCTGCCACCAACTGTATATTGGGAATATAATAGGTGCTTTACATGCTTTCTGGTTTAGACCTTCCACTTCTGCCCTGGCAGCCAGAACCTCACTTTCCTCTCTTGTAAAATGGAGATCACATGACCTCACCTTCAGGTTTAAAAAACAGGATCATTCCTGGCAGATAAAACAGCTATTTGTCTTAATCACACTAATTTATATAATAATAGCTTTATAAGAATACATCGGTAATGATTACTTACTGGATGTTTTTTGTATAATTTCACCATCGTAAAGTTGATGTGTTTTTTTCTTGTGGCAATTTCTTGCTTTATATTTCATACCTAAATTTATATCTTCTGATGCTCTGACACTGGAAGAAAATAATTTATGATGGAATAAAATATCAACCACAAAGGATGAACAGACACTTTCTAGCTATAAGTACATGTCTGACTTTGACAAAAAAATTTCTCTTCCTCTGGACCTAAATAGTGACATTTTTTACACTAACCAAGACATATCTTTGAATAAAATGCTTGCTAGCCAGATATTGATATAAAAGGATGAGACTCGGAAAGGCTAAAAGAGCTAGAGAGGCTAAGAGGCTGCTTTAGCAACAAAGACCTTGTCCCCATTAACAACTGGAAGGTGAGAGAACAAACTATACAAAGGAAAATTTCACAGAAATGCATACACACTATTCTTTCCCTGTGTGTAAATTACACGGGTTAGGTAATTACCCATACGTTATTGGTATGTGTCTTAGTTATCTAGTGCTGCTGTAACAGAAACACCACAAGTAGATGATTTTAACAAAGAGAAATTTATTTTCTCACAGTCTCGTAGGCTGGAAGTCCAAATTCAGGGTGTCAGCTCCAGGGGAAGTCTTTCTCTCTCTGTTGGCGCTGGAGGAATGACCTTGTCATTAATCTTCCCCTGGCCTAGGAGCTTCTCCACGGAGGAACTCCAGGTCCAAAGGATGTGCTCTGTTCCCGGTGCTTCTTTCTTGGTGGTATGAGGTCCCCCTCTCTCTGCTCACTTCCCTTTCCTTTTATCTCTTATAAGATAAAAGGTGGTCCAGGCCACACCCCAGGAAAACTCCCTTTACATTGGATCAGGAATATGACCTTAGTAAGGGTGTTACAATCCCACCCTAATCCTCTTTAACATAAAATTATAATCACAAAATGGAGGACAACCGCCCAATACTGGGAATCATAGCCTAACCAAGTTGACACATTTGGGGGAGACACAATTTAATCCATGACAGTGTCAAAAGCCTATTTATCCAAAATTAGTCTTGGGTCTTCATTTATAGTATCTAACATGCAAACAAGTTCAGTTTTTTTGAAGCTTGTCATATAAATCTATAAGAAAACTTTAGATTAGCTTGAATCCACAGAAAGAGATTTTGTCAATAAAACATGGGAAGTAAAATCATTAGCTGCATATGATTCCACAAACCAGAAAATCATCTTAAATACATTCGACGTTCACTGTCACAGACTTTATCCTTAACAGCTGCAAACTGCATCACCAAAAATCATTATCAGTCTCTCGGGAACACCAGGCAAGAAAACCTGCCCATCTTTAGTAAAATCACGGCGTGCCATGAGGATCTTGATCTTGTCCTACCCTCTCACTTCTACCTCCCTTCTTTGCATTCCCTAACCCTTCATTGTTACCAGTCCCCCAACCCCTAACTTTTATCCCCACCTCTGCTAAGTACTTAGTAGCTATAAGACCTTGAGATGTTTCCTAAACTCTCACCCTCAGTTTCCTTCTCTACAAATTGGGATTTTTGTTGTGGTTTTAAAAGAGGTAACATGGATGAAAGTTCAGTGAAGTGCATAATAAATAACAGTATTCAATCAATGTTAACTTTCCACTTCCTTCTCCTCCACTCTATTTTAACTGAATCTAAAATATCAGTAAAAAAAAAATCTAAAATATCAATACAAGTGAAATTATCTATGCATATCTCTTATTTTATTTTATTTATTTATTCATTTTTTATATTTAAATAAACTTTAAAATTTTAGAATAGTTTTATATTTACAGAAAAGTTGTAAAGATAGTACGTCAAGTTCTCATATACCCTTCACATAATTTTCCTCATTACTAACAACTTACATCATCATTTGTAACAACTAAAAAATGAATATTGTTACCATATTGGTATATTACTATTAACTAAACTCCATTTTTTATTTGGATTTCACTAGTTTTTTTCCTAATGTCCTTTTTCTGTACCAGAAGCCGATCCAGGATACTACATTACATTTGGTTGTCATGTCTCCTTAGCCTTCTCTGGTCTGTGAAAGTTTCTTAGACTTCCTTTGTTTCACAAGGTTAAAATCTTGACAGTTTTAAGGAATATGATATTTTAAAGAGTGTCTCACAATTTGGTTTGCCTGATGTTTTTCTTATGGTTAGATTAGGGTTATGGGTTGTTGGGAGGGAGACAACAAAAATAAAGTGCCATTTTCATCTCATCATATCAAGCGTACATCACATACTACCAACACTTTTTGATAACATGCTGATGATGTTAACCTTGATCACTAGGCTGAGGTAGTGTTTGCCAAGTTCTCCTTTGTAAAGTTAAATTTTCCCCTCCTGTCAATACTTTACTCTAGAAGCAAGTTACCAAATGCAGCCAACACTTAAGGAGACTGAGGAGTTAATCTCCACCTCCTTGAGAGAGGTTGTATTTACATAAATTATTTGGAATTATGATTTTTTTTTGAAAGCTTTGCCATCCAAAAGATTTAGGACAGGTGGACAGTTTTTCCCCACATCATTCTGGAATGGCCCCCTCACAATATGCCTTCTTCCTTGTATAAGACATATTATTTAGTCACTCGGGCTTTGGAGACAAGGATGATGGGGTCCTTAGAAAGTCATTTTAAGAAAGTAAGGGAGTCTGTAACCATAAGATATTAGTGGTAGGAACTCAAAGGGCAGAGTGTGGTGTGGTCAGGCCTTGCAGCTTTTGGTTTAAGAAAACCTTTTCCTTTTTTTTTTCCCCCTCAAAAAAGTATTGTTGATATAAACAGGTCAAAAGATTGAGGGAGGCCTAGAAGCAGGGAGGTTCTTTTCACTGATTAACACCATATCCTGATTTGTCAAGAAAGACTCTGAACTCTGCTTCATTGGGCCCTATTTGAGGATACCCTTCCCTACTTTTGGACTATTTGCTTTCTGGCACTCTCATCAAATGGGATTTAAATCAAGTATCTTTTGTATAAGACAAATATTTGTCCCATCCCCACTGAAGAATTTTAGTCATGTAGGGAGAGAAGCAAATAGAGGATAAAAGAACATCTTCTGAGAACACAATAAATTGCACCCCTTAGATGGTTGCCTAGGAAATGTGGCTCCAAGATGAATAACACTCCAAGACAAAGGGAAGCTCTATGCACAACTAGACTTGACAATCAACCTCACATCAAAAGGCCAACCTATTGCTTCTTTCTATAGATGTCTGTCCCTTGGAGGAGTAGTGATATTAAAATGTAGAGATAACTGGAAAGAGGTAGAGATTCCAAAGAGAAGTGATTTAAAAAAAAAACAAAACCCATTGCCATCAAGTCAATTCTGACTTACAGTGACCCTATAGGACAGTTTCCAAGGCTGTGATCTTTACAAGCAGACTGACGCACCTTTCTCCCATGGAGCAGCTGGTGCGTTTGAACCACCAACATTATGGTTAGCAGTCAAGCGCTTAACCACTGCATCACCAGGGCTCCAAAGAAGTGATAGAGGAGGATAAAAAAGAAGCCTATAACGAAGGACTGAAATGGCAATTAAAAATATTTGCAAGGACGTCCTACATAGTAATGCAGGAAATAGGCCTGCTATGGGCTCTTGCAGCCTCATGTCAATTGCGTGAGAGGGAAAAGCCCTTAGTCTCCCCTCCCTAGGCTCTGACAGAAAAGGGAAGACCACAGACTGTGATAACCTTGTGCCTCTAGTCCCCTCCTAGACATAAAAGGAAAGTGAAAGTGCCTCGCATGGAGTCTTAGACATAGAAGATCCTCAACAAATACTTGGTAACTTGATCAGAAACCTATTACTTTTCAATATTTTCACACGACACTTGCTTATTGGGCAGGCAGCAGAGAGTAGTAGAAACTTGTACTGACTCTGGAGTCAGAGTTTGGATTCTTGCTAGTTAGTTGACCTGGGCAAGTCACTTAACATTTCTCTGCTTCAGTTTCCTTAGTCATGAAGTGGGGATGGTAATACTAGCTATCTCCTAGGGCTGTAATGAGAATTAAATGAGTTAATAAAGTCCTTAGAATAGTTCATAAAATATGGTAAGAGCTCAGTAAGTGTTGGCTACTATCACTTTAAGTAAGAAAAAGATACCACTTTTCACTCAAAACAAGGAGTTTCAACATCCTACTACAGCAAGTTCTAATACTCCTGGGAACTAGGAGTTACTTTTTGGTAAGACAAAAAGTAAGAAGTTGTGGAACTCCCAAACATAATAATTTGCCCCATTGATACTTTTAAGACTTAAATTTTATGACTTAAAAATTGAGTAGACTTTCATATGTTTTCATTTTGTCATACTTGGACATAGGATAGTTGTTGGCACAGATTGTTGGTGAAAGTAGATTGTCAATCCTCTAAGTGTTTTACATCATATAAGGCCAAATTTAAAATGAGATTTTAATGTTTTGTGGATTTTTTTTCTCATAGCTATCCATCAATTTTATAATTTAATTTCTCACATAAAATCAATTGGCAAAATAATTAGGTAATCAATGGCATATAAATAATGTTAAATATCAGTTCCTTCCTAACAGTAGTATGAAATTGATAACATCATAATGATTTCACATATCTAAGAAGCATTGGAGCTATTAACTTAGAATTGCCTTTAGCCTCAAATAAATTTACTTGGAAACAGAAATTTCTTTTTCATTTCTCATTTGATACCTTTATTCTGTTTTCTAATAATTAACCCTTTCCCCCATAATTATTTTTTTAATGGTAGCCTAAAGGAAATGTGTCAAATAATAGAAAGGATAGTAGACTTGCAGTTTGTTACTCTATAATAAGGAAGATCAATGAGTGAGAGTTTTACAAATGAATAGATTTTGACTTAACATTCAGCTATCCTATAATAAAGACTGTGAGGATGGCACAGGACCAGGGAGTGTTTTGTTCTGTTGTACATAGGGTTGCTTTGAATTGGAATCACCTCGGCAGCACCTAACAACAAACAATAATAAAGCTTGGTTCAGTAACAAAGAAGGTTATCTGTAAGAGCAAGTGAAGTACCACTGAGGAGTATTCAAGAGGAGGCTGGGATGCATTTTTCTTAAGAATGCTGTAGGGAGGAGGTAAGGCCAAGAT